TGTTTGGGTGACTGCTGATACAGTTTTAGACTTCATGTGTTCGACTGGGTGTGTCTGCACGAGCTTTGTGGCAGGGTGTGACCTCTTTTGTAGATAAAAGTAGACAAAAATCAAATAAAAATAAGGAGCCACTCCCCCTGACATTTGCTTTGGTTCTTTGAATATACTTTAGACGTCTTAAGGGTTATTCAAACCCCTTATGTTTTGTTTTTGTTTTTTTGGGGGAGGCGGGGGGGTTACATTTCCAATTTTGCAACCATTTTGTTAATGGGATTTTATTCAATAGACAAAGCAAAGAATGACTTAATTGCAAAGTCAAAGGAACCCACATGTTGCTCAACAATTTTTATAAGTGAAAATCTGAAAGGTGTGCTATGAGTTTGTTTTCAGTCCCCTTGCGTCTGATACCCATAAAGAAAATCCAGCTATAGGGACGTTGGTAGTCCTGCAACATCTTTAAAATTGAGATGATATTTTAGGCTTGAATAGCTTTGTTGATAGGCTAGGTCCTTTTAGCACGATTTCAACACAACAACAGTCTTTTCCAGCCTCATCAAATTGTTTTTCGAAGCAAAAATGAACCCCCAGTGGGCCAAGGAAAGTGGCTTTGTTGTCCCTAACTGCTGTCTGCTGATGTCTCTTGTGCATGAGATTTACGGGCTTACCAGAAACACAATGCAATGGTTCCAAGTTAGGACTTTTGAATGTAAAAAAAAAACAACAACAAAACATTATGATAATCAAAACTAAGATGTTAAAGTCCTGACCTTAATATTAAGCCAGGCTTGTAAAATCTGTTTCAGCTGATTAGTGAGACATGATGAATGTTTTTAAAAAAAATTTTTTTTACTTTCTTGTAGATATATTAAACAAAATTAGGACTTTGTAGTTGATGTTAGTTATAATAGTACGTCTATCAATGCGGCATGTGCTCATGTTGAAATGTTTATGCAATTTACATTGACTCCATGACTGATGGATACCCACCACATTTAGCATCCCAAAACTGACCCCTAACTGTACTTAAATGTTCATACAAGAATAAATCTGAATGTGTAACATCATCAGAACCCATCCTACAGTAATGTATACATTAAAGAGTCAAAATATCTAAGGAAACCACAGCTGCAAATATGTTAAAGGACACAATCTTGATCAAGAACTGATAGAGTGAGCTAAACTCTGGAGTTTTTAGCTCCAATTTCATTAATGAACCACCAGGGAGTTCCCAGCGTCTGACAGTCAGTCACATCTGTCGTGGAAAAAGGAAGCAAAGGGTGGAGTCAACAGAAGCTGGTGACCACAGCCTGCTCCCTGAACCCCACACAAAAAAACTAAATGTCCCCACAACAAAGCCCCGCACTCATCTGCTCCTGGCAGATAAAACCCTGCCTGCGTTTAAAGTGATTAAGATCATTCAATCAGCCGCCGCGCAAACTGAGTTTTAGGATCAAATTAGAAGGATCAAACTGAACGAGACAGCTGTGCGCTCAAAATTACACTCTAAAACATTCATTTAAAATTGCAAGATTTTTTTGACCAAAAGAAATCTAGCAATTTTTAGATTTTGACCTTAAATGTGTGGGGTTTTAAGCTAGAACTTAAAAAATTCAAATAAGAATAAGGTGGGAGTGTAGACTATTTCCCTGGGTGCTTACCGGTAAGTTTTTGTTTGTTGTGTTGCACCGTGAATGAGATGGAAGCATGCAACTTTGACCTGCATCTTAGGAGTTTTTAAAGAGCCAGAATTATTTGTTTTCAAGGCCCACAAAACAAAACCCAGGCGTTTTGCATAGCTAAAAGGCTGCCACTGGAGCTTAGAAAATTCCTCAAACATGTTTGAAAGAATCAAGGCAACACTGCAGCTATGTTTTTGATGAGAGAATAACATTATAATTATGATGTAAAACTAAAAAGAGTTTATTTTACATAATTCTGCCCCATTCATTTTAAAGCAACTATCAATTTGCAGTGGTTGATTATGTCTTCTCAAAATGCTTAAGTTCTGTTCAAACTAAATGTTTGAGCAGTTGACTTTACTTGCCTTTTCAAGGCAACAAGTGAACTTCCACTTTCAAGTTAAACTAAATTCAAATATTTAACAGCGTACTTTAAAATTCCTTTCTGTGAATAATTTTAACAACAAAACAACCAGCGCGTAGAAGCAGACCTTCCCCTATACTAATGCTTAAAACAGACTATCACTCAAAGTAGATTTAAGGTACAAATGGCATGTCTGCATTGACACTACAATAGCAAAGCAAGCCAGAAGGTTTGCTTGGCTGTATTAAGTTATAGGACTATCGTGTCAAGCAAAAGGTCCTGACCTCAGGTGCCCTGCGCCATGTGGTGATGGTGCTATTAACATCTCCAAAGATCATATCTGCTCTGTCAGTAATTCCTCTTTTTTTTCCAAATCTATTTTGAACTCTGTAATTTCGGTGGCTCCATTACTCCATTATTTATTTATATTGTGAATCACGCGGCCCCTGAAGAAGAAACCACACAACGTTGCTCTTCAATTACAGACCTCACAGTCTGTAGCCACGCCTCAGACGAATCCCCTCCTCACAGCTCCGTCTCCTCCAAACCAGAAAGTCAAACAGCGCCTCTGTCACCAAAATTCTCTTTCAAATTTCCATTTCCAGCAAGCGAAAAATGTTAGAGAAGAAAAGAAAAGCTGGTTTTTTTCAGCTCGGTTTATAACAAACTTGACTGTTGATCCTCGGGATGCAGGCACCGAGGGAGCGTGCATCCACGAGGCACCGAGGAAGCAGCGTATTCGGATGCTAATCGGCTGAGATTGCAACAGGGTGTTGTTTATCAGCTCTCCACGTTGATTTACGACGCCGAGTTTTGTGGGTACAGACAGAAAAAGAACGGTATGAAGAGGATCCTGCAAAAAAAAACATGTGCCTGGAGTGTATGTGTGTGTGTGAGAGAGAGAGGGGCAGAGAGAGAGAGAGAGAGAAAGCGCTGCAGAAATGGAGTTGGTTAGAAAAAAGTAGTCATTATATGAACAGTTTTGACTAATGTCAGATTTCCTCAGGGGGGCTTCACGATTTTAACCCAGCTCTAATTACAAGCTAAATTTTGCAGATTTTCTGGCAAGATAACATGAGAAAACGAAAGCGGCGATTCACTAAGGGGAGTTATTAATGAACTGATAGTTTCTTTTCCACCGTTTGCGTTCTCTAAATGCTTTTTAATTTTGTTGTCTTTAGTGTGGTGAGTATATGTTTAACAGTGTTTCTTTTCTGAAAAAGAAGCAGCTATAGTTTCTCTATAGAGAAGCTGATTCTGGAAAGCGAGAAGAGGCTTAATAGGACGGTACTTTAAGCCAGCTGATTAGCCGTGCACAGCATCAGCTGAGGGATGAGCCCTGTTGTATGGCTCAGACAGCCGGAGAAAACGCACGACGCTCAAGGACTTTCTCTGGCATCTCAACAAATGATTTTTAATCATAGGAGTGACAATTTATTTTTAGTAATTTTAAAATTGGAACATTTAAAACGTATCTATCATGTCCATGAGTAATAAAGTCCTTTTAAATAGAACAGAATCACAATATATGTCCAAACCAAATGTAAACACACAAGTATACGTCGAAGATCAGCAATTATATAAAAAATAGGTGCAGTAGTACAACTTATTAAGATCATGTATAAACTTACAATTTGTCTTGTTTTATTTGTGCCAAAACAGATTATTTATGCTGATGTAGAAATTTACGCTAAAAATTCTGGGACTGTAAATAATACCAACTTTTGGGGGTTTCTGTCAAACAAATTATGTTTGTTTGTAAAAGTGACATGAAATATCTGTTGTGTTTCGTGCTACATACTCTGCAATAATTCAGTTAGTGAGTAAACAGTCAAGCATGGCACACAGAAAAACTCTACTCCCTATTTCACGGGTTTGCTGGCATTTATTTCTATTCTATCTTTTTTTTTTCACTGCCCTTGGATTCATTGATGAATCCGGTGGTGCACTGTAAGGTGGTATTTACTCAGCAGCCGCCTGTGTTTGTCCCCTGTTCCGCCGTGTCCTGTAATCCCAGCTCAAGGGTGGGACGCAGCAAAATTCTCCAGCTGCTCGGGACGGGACGGGAAGGTGCTCTGGCTGGCAGGCAGCCCAACTTCAGGTCAATACTTCCAGAGACTTTGCGGCTGCAGCAGTGGCTCTGCCTTAAAATAAGTCTCCCCCCACCACCACCACCACCACCCCGCTACACAGAGGAGCCGGCGCTGCATCCCCTCCTTTTCTGTATCACATAACGTCTCTTTATCCACTCCCCACCCCATCTGCTACCAACATCTTGGCAAACTTTTCACATCAGGAGCAAAAGCCTCTTTGCCTACCATAAGTGACGCCCAGATTATTTCGTGTCGTTTCTATTTTTGTCCAACCGCAAAAAGAAATGGGGAAAAAAACTGTGCTGCTGCTCAATGGGCTCCGAAGCCATCTGAATGGAAGAAATCCCAGCCGGTATTTCCCTCACATTCCCCGCATGATGTTAGCTACAAGTACACGTTGCTGCAAACTGTGTGCATAATCAGCCCTGGTAAATCAGAGTTAGCGCACAAAAGTTGTCACTCGAACTCGTTTAGATCCTGTTTTGAGGTGGCTCGCATTTGGTATGCAGCCGCTCCGAGTTTAACGCCGTTTCACAGAAATGGTACCGGAGCGGCATTCAAATGGATCAAGAATCAAGGTTTAGCTAACGGTCAATGGATGCCTGCGGTGACTTTCTGTCGCTCTCAAACAGTGGCCGTCAGGAGGCGAGGACTGGTCCCATTTTACAGTTAACTTACACATATAACTACCAGGAACCTGAGCGAGCATAACACGGTATGAAATGTTAGTCAGTGCACTGCTGGTCAGTTCAGCTGTGCCGATTCAAAGTAAAGAATGGACCGAGAGCTGCGCCACCGCAACTTCTCTCCGCTACCAAGAAAAGTAGCTCGAGCGAAAACAAGCAGAGGAAACCGTTAACTCACCGACGGCTCCGCACAGGACGAAAAAGGACGTTAAAAGTCGCATTCCGTTATTAGGTACTGTCCTCCGGTTCGTGGGTCTTGTCTCCATGGTTTCTCCGTGTGTCTGTGCGTTTCGGCACTTTCAGTATGTCCTCCTTTCTCCTCCTTTCTCCTCGCTCGTGCCTTCTCTCTCTTTCAGGATGGTTCGGCTCGCGCTCCTCTAGAACTGTTCTCCATAGCAACGGAGCCGCATGGGCTGTACCACTTTTAACAGGACAACAAACAGATACAAAACATTATAGGAACTACTAAAAACTACAAATACGACGAGTTATTATTATTATTATTATTATTATTATTATTATTATTATTATTATTATTATTATTATTATTATTATTATTATATTTTAACATCCTTTACAACATTCAAAATGTAAAATAATTGAAATTTAGCATTATTTACATTAAATTCTTGATCTTGATTTATTGGCATATTTTTAATTTAAAAAAAAAGTTGAAGTGGAAGTTGGACAAAACTCTGTTTTAACTAACTTCTGTATTCTTTACAAATAATGACACTGACTTAAAAATACTAACAAGCTTTATTTATTTTAGAGTACATCAACAAGTAATTGCACTCAACGAGTTTAAGGGTGGTATGCCACTTTCTTTTTCTTCATATCATGCTATGAAGTCATTCCCACATCAAAAACACATCCTGGAGTGTTGCTTTGACTCATTCATGCATTTTTGAAAAATTCTTGCATCTCCAGTGGCAGCCATTCTGGGGTGCCTTAACCCTGCCTATTTACTCAAAACTCCACCCAAAGTTTTAATTTACTGACTATATGTATGGTCTCCATCTATAAAGCAATATTCAGTGACATAAATAGGAGGCGGTAAGATTTCTAGTACCAAAGGCAGGAAATCCAGTTTTTCAGATGCACTCTCAGATGCAAGCCACAAGTTAAAATTAAGTAAAAAGTGTTGTAAAACCTCTCATTGTTCAAACTACCATTTACTTTTTACTGATGATTATTGCTCTTGCAGCAACAACTGAAAAAAAAGGGGGAAAGGGGGAATGAAGGAAGTGCTGAATCGAGTTGCTCAAGTCGACACAGAATCTTCTTCTGGTTTTGGCACCTCCCAGGGGAGTTGTATCAACCCTATGCTACTGATTCGTCTGCAGTGTCTCTGTCCACAGTGTCAGGCATGTTTGCGGATTACATATCAAGACATGCAGTGCCTTCCAAAAGCAGACACACCCCTTTGACAACTTAAACTCATAAACTTTGATGTGTTTTACTGCAAATCAACACCCAAAAAGTGCATAAATTTGAAATATGGGCGTAAATGATGCTTGTTCTTAAGAGTTTTACAAACACAAATCTAGAAAGTGTGGTGCACTTGTATTCAGGCTCACCAATTTGGTGTGCAGAAGCATCTAAAATATGCCGGCGTGCATATTTTAGTTCTCTCCATCAGTGTCCCAACACATCTGAGTCAAATGATGGTTCGTTACAGCAAGGCCTCTTTAGGAGGTCGGACCAAAGGAGGGCAAATACAAATACATGCCACACTTCAAAATGTCAAAACACTTTTCTCCAAACTTAAAGAAACAAACTGTTACGAGTGAAATAACTTTTTCTACATAATCACATTTATTCCTTTAACTGCTGGCATGAGTTGCATATCAATAGGATAATATTTGAGGAAAACAGAGAGGGCATGCAGATATCGGCAGGCTAATAATAGGCTTTGCTGAAAAATACATCCCCCTGCTAATATGGAGAAATAATGGGTTAACAGTGAAATAACTTTTTCTACACAATCACACTTGTTTTATATGAATAGGATAATATTTGTGGAAAATATATAGGGCCTGCATATATTGGCAAGCTTGCTATGCCAAAAAAAAATTGCACCCCCTGCTGACTTGAAGAAATAAAGAGTTAAGAAGGATTTCACCTTTTCTACATAATGACACTTGTTCTCTGAGTTACCACTATAAGTTTCATATCAACAGGACAATAGACAGGATGCAAATACTGGCAGGCTCAGAAATTAAAATGCATCCCCCACTACATTAATAGACTAGAGAGGTAAGGATGATATAAAATATTCTACATAATGGGCATCTCTCTAAAAGTTTCAGCACGTTTTTGTTGTTTTCTCATCAATATAAGTTTAGAGCGACGCGCAATCCCGCGACAGCTCACGCAGTTCTCGGCAGGTGTGCCGTGCGTGTCGCGGCCGGCAGGTAACACCGACCTGCTGTTTTATTACGAAACTGCGGGAAAACAAGGAAGCGTGAGGAGGGAGACGTTCCTGCGGAGCCCAGGAGAGAATCTGGAGAAGGACGAAGCCCGTCGCCGTCGTCTTTGTCCTGACGGGCTTCGTCCGGTTCGCGCCGCCGTCCTGAAGCAACGCGGCAGTGAAGCAGCAGAGCAGCTTCCTCTCATTGTTCCTCCCCCCCTCAGATAATTACAGCTTCTCCTCTGTCAGGAATCCCGCGCGCTGTGTGCAGCAGTGTTATTATCGCGCGCTGAAGAGTTCAAACGTGCTGACATCAGCAGCTGGAGGCGGAACATCATGTTTATTCAGTGAAGATAAGCTGAAATGCTCGGGGTTTTTCGTGTGTAACTTCGTCTTACACCGTGACTCCCCGTCAGGAGATACTGGAGCCTTTTTTCAGTGTAATAACAGCCTGACCTGTGACGTGTTGCTTTTATTCCCTCCGGTGACACATTTAGTCTCTCCAGGTCACAGTGTTTCCCTTCTGATAGTCAATCTTTGCCCCCTGAGCCTCTTCATGTTGGACTGTGCAGCAGGGACAGTTGGTGTCTGCATGAGCCAGTGGCGCTCCCAACGGGAGGACACAGGGGGGACGCGGCCCCCTTCTCAAAAAAGACAACCCTGCCAGAGAACCACGTTCAGATCATAGAGAGGCATACAGTCTTCCTCTTTAATCAAGACATAAATACCTGCCTCCTTTAATGACACCTCTGGGGATAAGTTAAGTTTCCTGGATTGTATTGAATTGAATTGCATTTCTAAAGCGCTTTCTGGAAAACAGAAAAAACACACAATAAATTAATTAATTAATACCATTACAGGGGCAGTATTATGTGTTTTATAGGCATATATTGCCATTTTATTGCACATTGAATAAACATGTTACTTTCAGTTGTCAAAAAAGTGCTCTAAATTTGACTTAAATTTGACTTTGTAATTTGATGCCTCCGTCTGTCGCTTTAAAAACTCCTGCTCTTTCTGAAACTCCGCCTTCAGGAAGTCGTCACAACATGGTTCCTCTATTAACCCTTCATCAAAGCTTTTACAGCTTTGCACTGAGAAGTAGCTCGTGTAATGAGCTCAGCAGATGCGCACTTTCACCAGGAACTGCTAATTTCTGCTGGCTAGTCTGAAGGAGCAGAGTGCGGGTTTGCAGGGGAGAGGTCCTCTTTGAGGTGGAAGCTTGAAAGCTCGGAAGCTACACCCCTGAGAAGGAGCTTTGTCTCCAAGGCGGTGCTAGGTTCACCCAGATGTTTTGCCCAGGTGAATGGTTGCCAAGGAGATCAAAGGATTTCTCAAACAAACATAAAAGAATCAAGCCAACACTGCAGTTGTGTTTTTGAAGAGTGAATAACGTCATAACATGACATAAAGCTGAAATAAGCTGATCTTACATTATACTGCCTGAAATGTTTAACTGGCCTGGCGTGGTCACCGCTACCAAAATTATTTTCTGGTGGCGCCATTGCCATGAGCCGAGCCTGTACGTCTACCTCCCCCTCCCCCTTTTTTTTTTTTGCTGTCACCAAATACTTAATGACCTAAAACTCCTATTCTGCGCCGCTTGCATAACTGCATAATGATTTCTAAATGCTTCAACCTCCTCTGTGGCAGGAAACGGACTCGGAGTATTTATAATTCATAACCTTTGTAATTGTGGTTGCCTCACCGGAGGGTTTTGTGCTGCAAATAAGAACAAAAAAAAAAGAAAAAAAGAAGAGCTCGCTGCTTCATGGCGAGGCACCGAGTCCCCTGTGACCAGCGGTTTGCACATCCACACAACGCGGGCCCGTCTGGGGCGTTCGGTTTTCACGGCCTGTGAAAACAACCTTTGTTAAACAACAGCATTCCTCACGACTCACACTGGTGAGCCAGTCATCGCACACCTCAACCCTCCACCTCCTCCACCCCACACATACACACACACACAACCCTCATGTAGCCACACTCACGGTCCCATCCTCTGCCAAAGCACGGCCGTCCATGGCACAGAGAGGTCACCTAACTGCTGACGCTACACACTCCTGTTTGACAGCTCAGAAGCCTTTTCCCCATAATGAGCTTGCACTGAGATGACCCACCGCAGCACACACTGACCTTTAGAGGGTGTGTGTGAAGTAAATTTAAATGGCGTACCTGTTACAGAGCACATCCACAGTGTTGACGACAAAAAACCCCAACAAACTGTTGCTTATGATAAGTGGGGCAGATGTTTTAAAATAACATTTTTAAAACGTCATCGGCTCTTTTTTTTTTGTCTTTTTCAGGATGGGCTGAAGGTGATGCAAGTGTTTTGGGACAGGAAGTTTGCAGCATGAAGCTGTACTATTAGAGTCAAACATGTCACACCAAAGTGTTTGCATTTGCACCAGACGACACAACAAACACTCCTCTCAGTTCAAGCGTTTGATTTTCACTGGTTCAGAGCTCACAATGCACCAACAAACACCAAGGACTCAGATGCATCAGGGCTGGTAGGAAAAAAGATTAAATAAAGACATAAAAGTTACAGAATTTGAAGCTGCAGTTTACTCTGTTGAAGAATGCACAGATGAAAATGTAAGAATGAAGTCAGAGCGCCATCTGCTGGAGCAAATGCTAAGTTAAAGAGAAGGAGCATCAGGAACAGTGGTGTCTCACTAAAGCATTCGTGGTCCTTTAACTTTTTTCATATTGATGAATGTATTGTAAAGATTTTGTAGATCAAAAGTAATGGATTATTCCTAATTCATGTTTTTCAAAATGTCTGAGGAGATTTTCTTTAAGATCCTCATTTGGATTTGGATCGGGCCTTTCTAACAGCTTTGATCTGAACCGCTGGTTTTTGTGGCTTTTATTACGAGAACCACCTGATCCTGGTTTCCAAACACAATCGTCTTTATACAACTTTCTAAAAAATAAAAACATAAAAAAAGAAAAAAAAACAGAAGTAGTGTGGGTTATGCCAAACGTATGCCAAAATATTCTAATCTACAGAATGGGTCAGTATGTTTGTTTTGAAATTAGCGGTTAACCATTCACAGCGTATTGTGAAGAGAATCATCCCCACAGCATGATACCGCCACTACCATCTATTATTTCTGTTCTCCTGGAACTGGCATAATTTAAAATCATATCAAATAAAACTCCCATTTCAAACACATTGTTCCCACTCTTTGACCTCCACATTGAGGAAACATCATGCATGTTGTATTTAAGTGGTTTTCTGCCATCATTTGCAGAAAATGCCAGTTTCTGCAGAGGAAACCTTCTCATCCAGTTGTCAAGCAACATCAGTTAAAACAAAGGCCAACAAAAACACGCTCAGTTGCTCCCGCTGCCCAGACGAAGGCCTGCGCGTTTCCTGCTGCGCGTCTTGTGTCGTGTGGAAAGACGGGCCGCTGCAGATGAAGTGACGACAGGGAGAAAGGACCTAAAAGCTACGCAGACGGTCAGGACACGGGTAATTTACGGTGAAGGCCACATTGCTGAGTGAAACAGAAAGGCAGGAGTGACACGCAGGTGAGCCGTGTTTTTAAAAAAATGTCTTGAGGGGAACACAGTGACATGTAGGCATTTCTGCAGGATCAGTCAAAAAATATTTCATTATGTGAATGCTGAGGAGCAAGTAAACCTATTTACACAAATGAATAGAAACAAGTTTAAGACTTCAAGAATCTTTCTAGAGCAGATCCCAGTTCTGTGACATTATTTGGAACTATTAGATGATGCAGATGTTGGTTTATTCATAATTGTCATTTCATTGCTTTTAGTAGTTAGCACCAATAAAGAGAGAGTTTAGAAAAGTATTTTCACATTTACTTTTCTTTTTTTTGAAAGAACCAAAACAAAGTGCAGAAAGAACACGGGTCAGGCTGATGAGACAGGAAAAAACATTCGACTAAAGGAGATTTTAACCGTCAACCTCATTCAACTAACAAATAATGTGAAGCCTAGAGAAATCCTGAGACCTAAAATCTGAAGGAGTTCTCCCACAAATGACTCAACATGCAGCCGTAAACTGCAGCGGTTGACTGCGGCGGAGCTCTCATCGACCTGAGCATCGTTGGAGTCAAAAGGACACAGCAGCTTGTCTCAGAACCCGGCGACTTTTTGGCAGAACAATTTACAAAAACCTTCCGCAGCAAGTACTGAAAAACTCTCGGCTCCAACAAAAGTACTTACTGGCTGTGATTCTTGCCAAAGGGTGTGGTGTTCAGCACTCAGCATGCCGAGTGCCAAAAAATTTGTAAATGGTTTCTGATAAATAAAAAAAAACAACAACAACAACAAAAAAAAACAACAACAACAACAAAACAAGCGAGTAAGATAATAATGATAATGAAAATAAAAAAATAATAATTGTGGATTAGATAAACCTTCCTGCTCGATTCTGTTTTGGGGACATTATCAATAAACCAGAGGCCATATTTAACTGTACTGCAGTTTCTTACTCACAAAAGTGAATGTAGAAAGATTAAGCCTGACAGGGAGGCTGTTGCACAACCACTGGTGTGATCCAACCATGACTGAACTGGGTATCCACCCAGGATGACCAGAAGGGGCCTTGTGTCTTTGCCAATAACACATCTCATAGATGTCATTTGTTTTCAATCAAAAAAAAAAAAAAAATGTTATTCCAAATGTGAAAAGCATTCCAGCCCTCTTCCATTAGGGACCTAATGAATGAAAATCATCCTAACATTTAATGCAAACTAGTTTCAAACACTGGCCAGTCTAGAGAGAACACATTGATGTTACTATGATTCTTTATGGCATCGATTCAACAAGATCTCAGAAACATTGTTTATAGTTTTGGCTTCGATACGACAGCGTGAAGCAGCTGCATCATCCTGCTGGCTGGAGTCGTCTGACGTGCTTCATAAAACCGTGGGAAGGTTCCTTAGATCGGCTGCAAATGGCAGGAGAAGCATTGCTGCAACGAGGTGCTGAAGGAGGAGTGTGGGAAAGAGCAGGTGCTTCTTAAAGAGACAGGCTCAATTTCAAGGTGTCAGAAAGCCGAGTGAAATTTCTTTTAAGATGTGTTTGAAATTATGAAAAAATGAAGAGAACGCTTAAAATGATCAGTTTCTCTGATTTGACTTTTTTAGGTGTATTTTTGAGGAAAGATGTTTTTATAGTTGCACTACTAGTCTAAATCTGATATATATTAGAAAAGTAGAAAGATTGAAATCCTTTAAGTCCAAGAAATAAATGGAATTCATCTTTGAATAATCAGTTTAAACAAAAAGCAAAACATGACTTTAGTTGCATCTTATGTTTATTAAAATAACCCAAACTATATATTGACACAGAAACCTGTTGGTACATCAACTTAAAAGAGACCAGGGTTCATTAATGCAGTTTGCAATCTGACAGTTATCAAATCAATCGCATCAAAAAAACCAAATGTTTAACACAACACTTTGGATTACACTGCAATATTGGAAGTGGAGAACTATTGAAATATTGATTGGCAAAACTTGCAAATTAGTTTAGTCTTATTTCAAGTGTACCCAGATATTTTCACATGAAATTAAACTGAAATGACTGGTCAGACTCTCCTTCTGTAGTGCATTGAACAATTCTTATCCATTCTAAAAAGAAAAGAAAACAATAATGTCATGCTTTCTTTTAATTTTGGTTACAAACAATTAACTTTCATCAAAAAGTCTGTCATGTGACAGAAATAAAAGACAGAACTCTGTACAGATTTGGTAAAATGATGTGCTGATTGTGCGTCTCAGTCCTCTCTCAGGTAGGCCTCGGGTGTCTCCTCTTCGTCGTTGCTCCCCTCAACGATGGCGGCGTATTGCGTCATCCTCTCGACTTCCATGACTTTAGTCTCTGCCAGCTTCTTTTCTGCGTCCAGTGAGACTTTCTGGGCCTCCTCTACATGGGATTGGGCCAGCTGGATGTTCGTCCTGACCGTGATGGACGCGATCTCAGCTCCTGAGAACACACACACACACCCACACACACCCACAAGTACAAAATGCTCAAGCAAACATCAAACTTGTTGAGTTTAGATTTGAAAAGCGGGTCCTTAACCGGGCCCGACTCGTCTGTTATCTCCTTTTGTGTTTTCGCTCAAAGGACCCACAGAGTGACAGCACACGACCCATCTGCCGTCCGGAGCGATGGAACTGAATGGGCAAAAACACTTTGAGTCGCACACCTGATGTGTACGCAGCCTCGGCCGCCGCCTCACACAGCCTGACGGCGGTGGCCCAGATCAGTTCGAAGCGCTTCTGTTCCTCTTGTTTGTGGGCAACCTGCCACAAAAACATGCAATGAAGAAATTTACAACCGCCTGTTTTAAGGTTTTTAGTTGGGATGGACCGAAAACAATGGAAAGAGACACAGAGACTGACCTCTGCACGCTGGCTAATGATCACCTGCCAGATCGTATCTTCTTCTGTTGGACTCAGTTTCCCCAGGGAAGCTAAATATTGCCTTTGCAGGGCGATGAGTGTGTGCACTGCCTGTGTGGAGACAAGGGCGAAGATTCTCACTGTTTACACTCAAAAGCAAAGACACATTTATAGAGACATACTCAAAACCTTGAGAATTTTCAGAAACATGAAGGGATTTCTTTAGGGACACATTAAGAGTGCACTCTTAATGTCTTATTGCTAGCAAGAGAAGCATTATTGGTAACATAAATGAGCTGTTTGGTTTAATAAGAAAATATGATAAAATAAAGCTTTGTGATTTTATTTATGTACATATGCACATTTTTTGGGAGGTAATTTTATCTGTCATTTGACCTTTGTTTTTGTCGGGACAAAAAAAGAACCAACGGACGACAAGCCGCTTCTCTTGGCTGATTGAGTGTTGAGTTTTGCTTCTGAAAAAAGGTTGAAGTTGTGCTAAGCTCGAATTAGCCTATCAGCGAAGAGACTGAAGACTAAAATAGCATCTCAATGCTAAACATGTAGCTGCAGCGCCGATGTCCCCCAACGCCGGTTCCATCATCCACAGTCCATATTTCTAAAGTTCTGTGAATGATCAAAAGTTCTTAAAGCACTGGAAAGCTGGATTGGTAGAATAGGATTTTACACTGATCTGCTGGTTAAACAACATCAAATATTTCACTGGACACAAAACATATTTTCGTTCTTAAGGAAAGACGGGATCTTTGACTTGCCATGAAGATAAAAGGGAAGCTATAACAATATTTGGTGCAACTTTTACATCATGCTCCTAAGATAATGTGTTAAAAACCTCAAACAAACACTTTATTATTAGGAGCAGATACACTTGTCAAAAAAGACATTGAAAGATTGTAAAGAAAATTTCCATTCCAATTCTTCTTTTTGTGTTGCAATAAAGCAGAAGTGTGTATTGTAGAGAGAGGGGAAAAGACCACATACCTCCAGTTTGGCTTTTGGTTATGGTCCATTAAGAGCTTCAGCAGCACATGGAAAGTATCAATCAGTTCTAACAGTTAGGACAAATGGTAGTCACAACACGAAGCCATACCTTTGCATACTCTGTGAGGGCGTCAGTCAGAGCCAGAGTTGCCTGAGAGAGAAAAGTGCTTGAACTGTCTGTCACCAGAGAGGCTGCTCGTCTCACCAGGGAGTCATGAGAGAGGTTTTCAACCTGCATCGGGGGGTTCAATGAGTTTACAGCAGCTGAAACGTCCAAATAGGCACATTTTCGGCTGTCAGACTCGCCTGTTTAAAAGGTACAGCGCACAGACTTCCGCCGACGGCGAGAGAAGACAGGACACTTGTCCATCTGGGGGACTTCCGGACAGCAGGTTTTATCCAGGACAGGTACCGGGAGGAATTTCTGTACAGAAAAAGGGAGTTAAATACAGATAAATAAACCAGGAAACAGCGAGGGAGAGACGCTGATTTAACTTCCTTTTTGACTGGCTCTGCTCCACTGACAAAACAAATCTGAGAATTGGGGCAATCAAACAACTGCTGTTTATTCGCTCATACTTTCATAAAGAAGTTTAACAACTACATAAATCAAAGCAGGTGCCATGTATTAAACAACAAGCTAATGATTGTGTCACGATATCTTAATGTTAACGCGACCGACCTGAGGAAATTGAGATACAGGGATCTCCTCCAGATCGCCGCCATTCTGGTCCGACACAATGAACTGTTCTGCTCTACGGCAGACTGCAGAACAAAGGTTCCGCCCCGTCTTCTTCCTGATCATTTTACAGCGTTGGGTGGTGCATTGTCGCCATCCCCTGGTTCTTAACTGTAAAAGCACTCTCTCGCTGAATGAATGAATGAATGAATGAATGAATGAATGAATGAATGAATGAATGAATGAATGAATAAATAAATAAATAAATAAATATTCGAAGCTTTTAACATTTTTTTATTTTCTGTCAAAAGACAGAATAGGACAAGAAAACAATTCTTGATCTTTCCTTCAAGTTAATATTCAGTTACTCAAAAATCACAAAAACTGTAATTTCTAAGCATTTTCCTTCATCCTTTGCTCTCCACACGTGTGGAACTGGACTGAACTTATACAAATTCAACACTTCTGCCCCCTTGTGGTGACTGATTAACATCTCCTCCAACCCCAGCTTCAGTTTCTCTGTGCCTGGTGGTACCTAGCAGACATTGTCAGTAAATACCTTCTGTCAAACACACCCATTAATTTTTCATTTCACCATTTTTTTCAATAATTGTTAACACATTTCTATCCCCTCATCGAAATGTTTTAGACAAATGAGGAAAGCAAAACAAACACTTTGAAATGTGAAATTCGTACAATAATGGGAACATAAACATTATTCTCACTGTTCTCAAATTAATATCCAAATATGCAAGATTATCTTTCCATCACACAGCAGCAAAAGACTGGAACAAACTCCAAAAGAGTACTGAAGCGGAGCAGCTTTGAATCAATAAAAACTTTTAAAGGTATTTTAAAAGTTATTTTAAAGGTTGTCTGAAACCTGCACATGCTTCGGCTAAAAAAAAAAAAGAGTCAGTTTTATCACAAGATTGTGAATTTTTGAGTTTTCTTTGTTTATTTTAGGTTTCTGTGTTTATTGAGTCTCCGTGTGTCTCGTTCCCTGGTTACAGGTGGGATTATTCCCCTCTGTGTATTTAATCCCACCTGTCGGGCTCTTGTCTTGTCTTGTTTTCTGGTCACGTCGAACCTGTTGTTCGATGTCCACTGTTACCAATTGCTACCACTTTTGAGCCTTGGCCTTCTGTTCATTCTTTGCTGCCTGGATTTTGGACTTTATATTCATGTCATCATTGAAATCATAATTCTTTCACTCCAACCTGGGTCCTCAGCATCATCCTTACCACCTCTTCACCGCATGTCATGACAAAGAAGCCCTTGTCTCTATATTGTTTTATGATCTCAATAGGTTTGCTCATTTTTGTTGTTTATTACATAAATACGCCAAATAAATATTTATACAAAAAGCAATACCAAGCTATTGATCTAAACACGTGACCTGAACGTTTTATTGTTTCGCAATAAAGTACTGGATGTAATAACTGAGTTTATTTCAGATGTTTGTCTCATCAAGTCAAATGTTTCTGGCTGCAGCGAGTTGTTTACACCAGGGGCGTGAATGCAATATTCAGTTTGGCCTCTTCATGATTTCCATTTCCAGGCTGGAATGAGCACCCATTGATACAGGCTCAAATATATACATACACCCTCTTTCATAATTGGTTAAATCTCCCATAACAAGGTTCACCAAAAGCAAAGGTTTCATATGCATCAACAATCTCCTGGAATATCTGATTGGTTGTAGAGTTCGGTTAAACTGGCTGGTTTAATAGAACCAAAGAAATTTGACTTTGTAATTTAACGCCTTGAATTTGGGCTTCTGTCTCTTTAAAAAAAACTCTACAACTTCAGTAACGTTCTTTTTATTTATTTATTTTTTTTACCAGCTTTGCAATGGCAAGTAGCTCCTACGATGAGCTCAGCAGGTGTGCAGTTGCTAATTGCTGCTGGCTAGTTTGAAGGAGTTGAGTGGGAGTTCACAAGAAAAAGCTGCTCTGTGAAGTGGAAGCTCGGAAGCTTGGAAATTGTAGCTCTAAGTTGGAGTTTTGTCCTCAAAGGCAGGGCTGGGTCCTGGCATTTTGCAAAATGAATGGTTGCTCTAAATCACATTTAGAGCTTTTGCAACGTGATTTTTGACCAAACTACCCCTTTAAGCATGACAGTGATCCCAAAGCCGCATTGAAAGCTTGTCATTAAGCTTTCAGAAACCTAGCACTCTGAATTAACCCTGTTGTAAATTGTGGACTATGGCCAACAGCATTTAAATTAATCAATATTTCAACCAGAATAATTCCATAAACTGGCTGATGTCAACACATGGACACATGGTGGGCAATGCACGATGCAACCAAATATCACCTGAAGAGCATATGTTTGATCTCTTATCTACTTTTTGTGGATAAGAGAAAATCCACATTAAAATTAAACTTGTGCATCAAATTATTTAAAAAAATCAATCAGTTCAATCAGTTCAAATGACCAATAATTGCAAAGGTTTAGTTTAAAATATGTTTAATGAAAACACTACAAACATACAAAGTTGTTTTTGTTGGCGTTCATGTCGAGGTTGTTTTTCTCCTGTTTGGAGACGGTAAACAGGTTGTTCTTTGAATAATTAATGACAGTCTTCAAACATCACTTTAATGAGTTTCAGAGGAGCCTCGTAACACACACAGGAGCAGAGTTAACAGACTAATGATTGTCATCATTACCTCATGGACAAAAACAACTTTGGCTGAAAAACAAAGCAAGATCTTCAGAGTGTAACTCTGCCCCATGACACCTTAAAGTCTGTACAACTATACAAGACTCTAGATGCAAAGCCAAAGTTAAACGCACAAACTTATATTTTTTGTTTACCTCCTGGTTGTCTTAACAGTGACTTGCAAAAGTCGCTGTCAAACTGCACACTCTTAAAAGTTTCTGCATTTTGCCTGTTCCAATGGGATTTTATGTGACAGATCAGCACAAAACAGGTTTGGGGTAAGCATCAATTCAACGCAGAAACAAACAAAAAAGATATGTATTCATTTCATTTATTTATTTATTTATTTTTGTAAAATATAAATGTCAAAAATAGTTAATACAATTCTCAATAAAAAATAACAAGAATGAAATCTCTACTGGCTGTCTCACAATCAGACCCGTCTTATGCTGACCCAGCATTTGCACTTCATGCCTTCTCGGCTGGGAGGCCTCTTCGCCATCACCCTAATCTGGAGCTCCATTAAAAGATCCTCCATCAGGTTAATGTCAGGACTCCCTCTCGGTCACACCAAAACATGCGTCTTACTTTTTGTAAAACTAAACAAAAACACTTTCCCTTATGAATCATTTTGGGCTTCACTATATTTATTTAGCAAAGTTTTGCATTGAATATTAATTCCTACGTCTTTCACAATTAAATTTTCTGAATTTGTTTTGATTAATTTATATACTTTATCCATCGTCTATATTTACATTCTTGAGAGATCGTGAGGAAAATAAGTACGTGAACACCCTGTGGCTTTGCAAGTTCTTACACTTAGAAATCATGGAGGGTCTGAAATGTTCATCTTTGGTGCATGTCCACTGTGAGAGACATAATCTAAAAAATGATAATGACATAATGTATAATTTTTTAAATAATTTATTTGTGTGCTACTGCTGCAAAGAAGTATTTGAACACCAGTTAGTCCAGGTCCGTTCCACTCTGGGTCTTAATCCCACTCGTCGTGTTTGGAGAATGATGAGTACCGTCCTGTGAGAAGCATGTCGAGGTTCTGGAGGTCTGGAGGCTGGGCTAGCCAGTCATACATTGTGATATCCAGATTTATTTATTTATTTATTTTTGTAGATTCAAATTAAAAAGATAAAAAAAAAACATACAAAACACCCCACAGGAGTACATGGTGCTCTGACCTCTGACCTCTGACCACCACCAGCAGACAAGGGTGGTGATGTGTCTTGCGCAGAGGCCGATGCGGTGGGATTCGAACCAGCAGCCCACCCATTGTGGGACGAATGTCTACCACCGTCAACATCATTGTCCCAAAATGAAAAATCAGGCTGATCTAATCATAGAAAGGGATGAACCAAGAAATCAAAATGGGAAAACAACTAACAGGTTGTTAGTTGTTTAAAACCAACAACACCCAGGATTCGTAAATAAAATGGTGCATCAGGCATGTTAACTAGGTTCAGTGCTTAAGATAATTAAAGTGCATCATTCAGTAGTTTCTTAATAATCATATATAAACAGCTTTACTTGTGTTTTGTCTCTCTCTTTTTCTCTTTCTATGGATTAAGGTTTTCATTGCATTGTAGGTGAAATTCAACGAAAAAAGATCAACTTTTAGCATTAGTGAAAATAGTTTTCAATATCGTCATGATGGTTGCCGTTGTGTGATGAGGACGAACTCCAGAGGCGTGTCGAAACGACGACACGCCTCTGGATTCATGTGTGCATATCAAGGTTTACAAAGAATATTCAGAGAGCATTTGTGCTCACCATGAGCCAAGGCGCCACATCGGATTTAGAAAGGAACTGATAATCGAAATGATTTGCTGTCTTAGAACTGCATGCAGATGTACTTTGTTCTAATCAGAGTGAGTTGAAGAAATGAAGTGAGGTTCCTAGGGTTTCTGTGTATTTAACACTGAAATGAATAACAACACCTCTGTTTTAACGCAAAAGTTTTATGATCGGGCGGTGATTGTACAGATTCTGGTGGGTGCCTTTCTTTGCATCAACTCCATGCTGATTGCAACTTTTTTCACTAAGGACATCTTCTACACAAACATGCGCTACATTTTGTTTGCCAATGCATTGTTTTCTGATTGCATAAATTTAATAACGACAAATGTGCTGTTGCTCTTAGTCAGCTTTTCTTTCCCTTTACAAACATGGTCATGCCTTTTCTTTTTCATTCTGTCGTCTATGTATAATTATGTCACTCCTCTGACTCTGACAGCGATGAGCCTGGAGCGCTACGTGGCTATCTGCATGCCACTGCGTCATGCAGAGCTGTGCACTGCAGGCACAGCCCTGCAGGTCGTCCTCGTCATTCACAGCCTCAGCATCATACCCTCCACTGTGGTTCTTATCATCTTCTTTTCCTCGGTCGCTGTGAGCTTCTTTAAACAATATGCACTGTGCACTGCACAAGTGTTCATTTCACACAGGTGGCAGGATCATGTTAGGTCTGGGGTCAGTCAGTTTTACTTCCTGGTCATGTGCGTCCTCATCGCTTTCTCCTACGTTCAAATAATGAAAGTGGCCAAAGCTGCATCTGGTGAAAACAAAGAGTCGACACGAAAAGGACTCAGAACTGTGATCCTTCATGCTTTCCAGCTGCTTCTCTGTCTCATCCAGCTGTGGACCCCCTTCATTGAAGCTGCTGTTCTTCAGATTGACCTTAATTTATATGTAAATGTTAGATACTTTAATTACATCTGTTTAAATCTTGCGCCACGCTGCCTCAGTCCTCTTATCTACGGCCTCAGGGACGAGGCGTTTTTAGTCACTCTGAAGCATTACATGCTCTGTGGACTAAGTAAAACAAACTGAAGAACCTGAAATTCATTGAACAGAGAAATGAATGTGATTCCTGATGAATACATGTTTCAATATTTTACCTGAATTCTCAGCAGAGTTGTTGGTACGTGTCAGATTCTGTTGTTTTGGGGTTTGATACATTGACTCTAGTTTAACTATTATTCTGAACTTCGTTTTCACAAGGCATGGTCAGCTTCGTCTCTGAGGCCGTCAATAAGAGGACTCATTTTCCATTAGCAGAGCCGACACGGCTCATCCTGGCTGTTCTCAGATTTTCCCAACTACTTCAGGGCAGTGCTAGCAGGAACAAGCAGGGAACAGCAGCAAAACCATTTAAATAACAGCTGGCCGCATTCATTGCTCCAACAGTGTGAAACCCCAGAACTATAATATGAACATATTATGTGAATTTTACTTTTCCCTTGGATTAAAAATAAAGTTTATGCGTGGCTACTTACTGGTTTGCATCCTTTGACTGCATTGCCTAAATCTAAAAGCTTGCACATTTTATAAATTAAAGTGCCAGAATGTAGTTCTGTTGATATGTACAGCAAAATAACCAGCCGGACAGAGTCTTTATCATTATGATTGAGATAGCCACAAATTTGTATTAGACAAAATGGGTTTTGTTGGGGTACAAATAATTCTATGATTTTCTCTGTCATTTTTAGCTGCTTGCATACTAATTTATACACACATGAACACATTTAGTGCACATGCTCTTAGGTAAGGTTAATGGAAGTGACACTCTCTTTAGGGCATAGTTTAGATAGAGGCCCAGAAAAGGAAACAGAAATTGTTTTTTGAGGCCATTTTGCTGTGTTAGCCCATAAGGAAAGCAAGACAATGAACCAGCACTGCATTTAGTCTCAATAAACGAAATTCATGAATTCAACTCACTGACTCTTCTTGATCATCATAGTATAAGAACCTAAATGGAGACAGGATAATCTCTACAATTTGGAGGCACAGCTGGATGTTTGATGGTTAGTTATTTGAAAAACCGAGCAGAGGAGAAAATCCCTGAGCAAAATTGCTGTTGATTATTAACTGGTCTTTTTATCCACGCTCAGTTTGCATGTTCTAGTTCTCTCTCTGGTTGTAGTAACAACCTTTTCAGCATGTCAATGTTCTTAGGCCTTCATTTGATCCAGGTGTGTTAAACCAGGGAGAGAACTAAGACATACAGGATGCCGGCCCTCCAGGACCCACTTTGGGCCGTAAAGTCAACAATACAATACAAAGCGCAACAAGCTGGTTGAGGAGGGTGAATGCTGCCAGTCAATGACTCGATGCAATCTGCTGGGTTTCCTTAGATGGAAACAAAGAACTGCTTTGACTGATTAATTGTTTAATAACTAGGATGAATTGGAATGTATGTTTGATTTAATTAAATCTTTTTTTCAGGTGCCTTGAGACGACATTTGCTATGAATTGGTGCAAAATAAATAAACTGAAACATCTAGTCATTCTTTTCCCCTGATGTTGTTGTGTACGGTGCTTTGGATTCCTCCAGACAAGATGAAGCACCATACAAGTACAGGCTACTTAGGTGTTACAAAAGTTACTTCATGGAGATGACGACACAGATTCAAAAAGAATTTCTGTTTTTCTTGGACTTGCTTATCTTTCTTCAGCGCCCCTCAGTACACCAATTACAAATGGTTTCAAGTAATGGAGTAGTTGGCCCGTGTCATTTCTCTGTCATGATATAAAAAACCTTTTCTGACCAACCTGGTATCCATTTGATTTGTTCTTTTAAAAATTCACTGATATATATTTTTTTTAAACAAAGAAAAATCAAAAGGTGTAATTCCGTTTTTTTCTTTCTTTCTTATAATCAAATTTGAAATAAATATCCTGATTCAATTTTCTTTTCTTCTGTTCCCTCATGAGAACAGCTGAGGTGCACAAACAGCAAGTGGCGATGACGACACCACAGAGTTAACTTTCATTACATGTTGCTGCTGGATGTCTTGTATTTAAAGCCTTCATGCAAGGAGATCTCTGTCAACAGGCTGTTTAAAACTCCTTACGCTGGAGCAGAATCAGTGGTTTTTAAATTGCTGCATTTCATCTGAACACCTTGGTTATACTTATGCTTCGTATTTTATTGGAATAATAAATTTTTTTGTTGTTGTTTATTATTTAAACACAATGCACTGAATGAGTTGTTGTGTCAGTTGACTGAATCCTTTTTTTTCTCTTTAAAAGGAAAATGCCTAATAACAGCTCTGCTGCTGTTGCCTCTGTCCAGCAGCAGATAAGTTTCCGTGTTTTGCTCATTCAGATTTTGGTGGGTATTTTTCTGTGCGTCAACATGTTGCTCATTGTGACGTTTTTCAAGAAGGAGTGCTTCCACACCAGCGCTCGGTATATTTTATTTGCTGTGATGTTGATGTCGGACAGTTTTGTACTTGTGCTTTCTAATCTTATGGTGCTTGTAAACTCTCTTCAGTTCAGCATACAGGTGTGGTTGTGTACCGTCATTTCCATTGTCACGTTGCTCTATGTCATGGCCACACCTGTGACTCTGACAGCTATGACTCTGGAGCGTTACGTGGCCATTTGCCTGCCGCTGCGGCATGCGGAGCTCTGCTCCACACGCAGGTCAGTGCACTGCATCCTCGTCATTCACTGCATCAGCTCCGTTCCCTGTTTACTGATTCTCTCCATATTCTTCGCAACGGCTTCTTTTGAACTCTACCAACAGAGGGCATTGTGTTCAGTGGACATGTTCCTTTTACAACCGTGGCAGCGCCACTTTTGGTCCGCCATAAGTCAGTTTTACTTTTTGATCATGTGCATAATCTTAGTTTTCTGCTATATTCAGATTGTCAAAGTGGCCAAAGCTGCGTCTGGAGAGAACAAACAGTCGACACACAGAGGAATGAGAACGGTGATTCTTCACGCCTTCCAGCTGCTGCTCTGCCTCATCCAGCTGTGGAGCCCATTCACTGAAGCTGCTGCACTCAAAGCTGATGTTAATTTGTTCATGGACATCCGATACTGTAACTACTTATTCTTCAGTGTGGCACCGAGATGTCTGAGTCCTCTGATTTATGGACTCAGGGATGAAATATTTTTTCTCGCACTTAAAAACAATATTTACCTCAGATTTAATACAAGATACACATTCTAAGTGGTACTAAGAAAAATGAGTACAAAGTGCGAAAGTAAGTACAGACAGTCATTTTTACTCTATTAATATCTAAAGAACCATCCCTTGTAAAAAATTATGTATAGCACAAAGGTGAAGTGATTTTTTGTAAAGATTTGTTGTAACTTCTAATAATGTTTTATATTGTTCAGTATATGTTTCTTAACATTGGTAAACATCAACACAAATCTTGCAGATTAAAGTCATGATGATAAGATTCACTCTGTCTTTTCTTTATTAAGTTGTGACTTCTGGAATATAATTAGCAAAAGTTACAATAGTGGAAAAAATGAACTTGTGATCAAAAAATTTTAAATCAAATAGTCTTTGACTTCTCATAGTCTCAGTCATGCCTCAACCCTTGCCTCATCACCAAGATCAACTCAAAATAAATAAGTCAATAAGTAAATAAATGATCACAATAGATTTTACAAAATAATTTTTAAAATATCTTTTTATTTTTTCAAAAATAACAAAGATGATAAACATAGTAGAAAAAACATTCTTGCCACAGCAAAACATCAGATTTTGTTCTCTTCTATCTCCATGTTCATCACTGATGATTTCATTGTACAATTCAAATAAATAACTTAGGTGATACAGTAGATAATGCTTAAGAAAATGTATTAAAAATCTATTAAACAAAACGTTTAATAAATGAACGTTTCAGAAGGAAATCAGTTGCACTTTGACATGGTTTCTGCTGTGGTTGACTCAGTCCTCCCGTAGATAAGCCTCATGCACCTCACGCTCCTCGCTGCCCTCTAGAAAAGCTGAATATTCGGCCATTCGCTGGATCTCCTCCACTTTAGTCTCGGCCAGCTTCTTATCTGCCTCTGATGACAGTTTCCGCGCCTCCTCCACTTGCGACTGGGCCACCTGAATATTTGTTTGGACCAGGATGGACGCCTGATGGGCTCCTGCAAAATCAGAGACCCAAACATGGACATCATTTCCTGAACAATGTGGAAATGGTGAAAAGTACATATTTAAATGTTGACTACGCTGCTCTAATTTCCCTCACCTGAGGAATATGCTGCCTCAGCTGCCATTTTAGAGAGGTTGACGGCATTAATCCAGGTGGAGTCATAATGCTTACATTCATTCAGTCTCTCAGCTGCCTGTCAGGACACATACAAGAAATAATCAACATAACAAATACATGTTTCTGCAAGAGACAAACATGTCAGAAGTGTATTCAGATCTTTTCCAAAGACCTTTTCTCAGGCCTACCTCTGAACGCCAGCCACTGATCGCCCGCCGAAGGGATTCCTCCTCTGATGGACTCATCTTGCCCAGGGATGCAAGATATCTCTTTTGGAAAATGATGCGTGAGTGCACAGCCTTTTGAAAGAAGCCAAACAGGAGCAGGTTGAATATTCCTGTGATGAATCAACCCCAACAGTTTGGACATTTCATGCAAATGCAGAATGAATGTCTACCTTTGAATAGTCTGTCAGTGCATCTGTGAGAGCCAAGGTGGCCTGAGAGAGGAAAGAGCTGGAGCTGTCTGTCAACACTGAGGCAGCTCTCCTGATCAGAGAGTGATGGGAAAGATCCTCAACCTGCTGCAAAAAAAAGAACAGTAGTCTTAATATGTTTCTTCTTGGAAGGTATGATGAACTTTTATTTTTACAGTTTTCACATTGAGTCTTTGACTCACCCAAAGCCCATGGCCGACACTTAATGAGGCCATGCTGATGTGAGTCGGGTTTGTCAGCTCTCCTGGTTTCTGTGCTCCAGTTCTATTATCAGACGTACTGCAGAAGGAAATGATACAAGAAATGCTTAGAGATCTAAAGTCACAGACAACAAATAATTGAAATTATTACTGTTTTCTGTTTACAAAATA